CTCGTAATGTCTTATCAGCTTGTGAGAGGGGGTTATTCATGTGTTTGTAACACTTTATAAATAGAAAGCTATGAAAGATGGAGCATTATTTTCATCATCGATTAACAACACTCCCACTCCCACACAGTATTCATGGTGAAAACACACATTTCCTGGCGTGCATGCTGTACACCAACAGTACACACTGAGGGACCCCGGCGGCCTGCCCGGAACATCCGACGCAATTGGTTGCTGTAAGATTCGCATCTCAGCACAGACAGGAAGAGTAAACTACGGCTAACCTAGCCTAGCCGTCTGGCCTTACTCTTAGTATAGCTAGCCCACCTGTCTAGCCATACTTAAGCACGGCTGGCCTGCCAGTCCAGCCATATGCCTACTTATTCTAGGCCCTACATGATGTATTAGGAACCAGTTGAGTTATACTTATACAGACTGTGTCTGTTGACTGTTGGTTTTTCTGCAGTCCACTGCTGGCTGACTGCTGCACCGCCAGCTAGGCTCATTGGCTCAATATTACGCCGCCTGACCATTTTACAATCATCTTGTGCTACCTCGTAATCAACAGCAAGAAATAGAATACCTGTCAAGACATATCTTAAGTATTTATTTATTTTAACATACCATAAATCCAAAGAGTGCAACTCTTTGAGAGCACGGACAAGTGGGTTTGGTCGATGTAATGATTTTGTGGCCAGACAAGGATGAGTAAGTTTCTTCCCCTACTTTCTTCAACGTCAAATCAACATAAATTTCCGGTATTTTCATTACCTCCCTGTACCTGCGTTAATTGTCGTGGATTTACTTTCAGTTCCTTATTTCCTCGTTTCCGCTTCCGGTCTGTGTGACACTGTTTACATTTTACATTTTCATTTTACATTATGGCTGACAATTTAGCCGCACGTCAAACCGGTAGGTTAATAATATTGTCAATTTATCAAGTCTCTGGAGAGTGTGCTACTCCCTATCGCATAGATGCTTTTGCTTGTATACTTGGAGAAAAGTGTATACCTTTGAACTGAATGGTGTGAAGCAGGCCTTGATCTAATCTAGATTCTAATTCTAGATCTATAATCTAGATCTAGATTTAGATCTACTCTAGATCTACATCTAGAGATCTAGAATCTAGTCTAGATTCTTATATATTAAAATGACTATGACTATGACTATACTATTACTAGACTATACTATAAAAGTAAACGGGTCTACGTACACGGTAACCGGGCACGTAAGCTAGCCTCAGTGTCTACGTACACGGTAACCGGCAACCGGGCGCGTAGCCTCTGTGTCTACGTACACGGTAACCGTG